AAATGTGGAGGGAAAAACCGGAGGACCCGGAGAAAAATCCACGCGACTACGGGGAGAGAGAGACACGCAAACTCCAAATATACAGCAGCAGGCGTCAGGGTCGGGAATCGAACCGACGACCTCCTGTGTACCAGACGAGGTAGTTAACATGTCCTATCCACCGTGTCTTAAAACTCACTTGCCTCTACAGCAGGGCTTCCTCCGTAACGCAAGATTCCATGTAACGCGCGTTGATGCCTCGTGCGAATAGAGCGCTACGCATAGAATACGGAGTTGTTATACATTCTTATGTAGGCACGTTGAACTTCTTTCGCACCGTGCGTAGCCAACCGTGCTAATCGGAGGTTGCTTGCGAAGAACAACAAACACTAAACACAAAAATCAGCTCGAAGTAAATTCTTTTCAATCGAGATTTACAAGTGCATAGCTTCAGTGGCGTCCTCATGTCGCAGGGAAGTTAAGGAAGGGATTGGAAACAGCGGCATCGTCCTTCATCCAAGTTGAATCACTCACGATCACCGAGAGAAGGAAGCACACGTGGGCGCTACCAACAATTCTCCAAGCTCCGCGGTCCTCTATCTATATATGTGAAGGTGTTGTCGGTCAGTTTACGAGTGCTTAGTCACATACCTTTTCGTGTTATTGTGCAGGACATGAGATATGCGACGGACGTGTGTGTGTATATAAATACACTACACATGATTGTTGTGGATTTTATATAGGTAAAAATATATATTAAAAAATGTGCAAACCATTAATATCTGTACGATCTTCGCGGTGCATAACCACAATGTTACGTTTTACACTTTGATTCTGCAATTAAAGTTGGTGCCAACTCAACTTAAAGTCGCGAATTACAAAGCCTAGAGAAGTGACGGCAGCCTTTGCCAGTGCGAACCCAGCTTACGAACTTTGATTGTGCTACATTGTTACAAACGTGATTACGATTACATTTATACTCGTGCGGAGTCTAATGTAAGTGCAAAAAAGTCTAATGTTCGTGATTACGAATATTATCATAATCGTACGATTACGACTATTGAGGAGAATAATAATATGATCGTAATTTCGATTATTAATTTGACTAATTTACATGTATTTGTCAGATGCCTTCCACTAATGTCTCAAGGAGCCTTGTACGAATCAAGAAAGGCCAAGAGAGATTGAGAAGCTAAATAGAATACACGGACGAAACTTAAAAGCATCCGCATTGTCGGATGAACGCATTTCCGACCATATGCTCATACAGCCACATAATATTATACTTACGATTACAATTATAATCGTACAATCATAATCGCAACCATGAAAAGTAGACTTCGCACGATTATCAACAACGGGGGTGATTGCGAATTAAGGCTTCAGGTCCACGCAGTATTTAGATATGTAAGTTAACTCACCGGATGTTTGAGCTGATTGTTCAAGTCGTCTTTCGATCCGCTGCTGAATGAAAGCGAAATTTTCCAACACTGTCGCTCTCGCCCGGGGGGTGGGGGGTTGCTTGACCATACTTCACCACGTTTTGCCCAATTCGGGTTGAGTGATTGTGTCCAGTATCCCGTAACAGCTGTTATGAGCTCGCCACTGACGTTAGCCGTGGTCGGGAATCAAACTCGGTTTAACTTGGTAGGGTCACGTAAGTGCAGCAAATGGCAACCAGCTCCCCAAATTAAAACATATACCAGTTTTATGTATTCACGTACTGTCAATCAGAGTAAAGATTGTTATTGACGTTTTGGTCGACTGGCCTTAGTAGGAAAGGTCAAACATGCGTGTGTGTGTGTGTATACATATATGTGTGTGCGTGTGTTGGTACGTGTGTGCGGGGCGCGGCAGTGTAGCGGTTAGCGCGATGCGCTACGAACCGGTCGACCCGAGTTCGATTCCCGCTCATGGCAAACGATTATTTGAACCGGTCCTTCCCGAGATCGACTCGCCTGAACCACGGTTCAACGCTAGCATAAACCCTGGAACCGTTTCGACACTCAGTGTCTCATCAGCAGGCGAGCTGCCAAAGTTACAGTGAATGGTCCTCCTGTCTGTACGCTATGGGGATCCTCAGTTCGACACAAAATACACAACGGAGAACGTAAATAATTTTAACTTCACAATAAAGAGGGAACACGTGTGTGGCGCGTGTTCATGAGAATACGGTCAACATAACATAAATGGACTCGTAAGTAGGATAGTAAATCTTTAAAGGAGTATGTTGATCCCAACCGGTGTATCAATATTCCGAACATTATCGGAAGCAAATACTCACTCTTAATGTGATTATATTTATCAGGGTAGTGCATAATATTCCGAGTGTTCTGATTCAACACACACTCGAGTGTAAAATATTTAACGTTTAAATAGTATGTAAACGCAAACACAAAGGTCTACCATTTAGCCTTTTTTATAGACCGCTGGGGCAAGTGCTGTTATCTATTAAGGACCGACAGCCCACGAGGAGGTTGTGTTTTCAGGATTTTGCCAGCGGAGAGGAAAAAAAACGATTTGGGCCGGACGACCCAAGTACCATTTACTACGATGTACTATTTTTATGTCACCAGGTAAAGCTTCACTGAGAAGTGCAGCTCTTTTTCGGAAGCAACCTAGGCCATCGCAAATGATAACCAAGCAAAGTGGCTTATCATCACGTGGGAACTTATAGCAGCAGCCAAAATACTCTCAACGCATTTCCATTATGAATGTGGAGGGGGGGGGGGGCGGGGACCCCCAAGGACCCGGAGAAAAATCCACGCGACCACGGGGAGAGAGAGACTCCTATCTGCGTGAGATCCACCAACCCTCCCATCGGTCGCGAACACGGCGTAATCCCGACTCTATAGTACGCGAGCTCCCATTGTTTGTTTGTGTTGTAGCCGAGATAATGGTGTCGCCTCGTGTAAGATTAGGGGCGCGGGTGATGGTGGTGGGGTGGGAGACGGTGGGGGCGTGAGACAGCGAGACAGGGAGACAGTGGCGTCGTTCACTCTGCCGAGCAAAGCAAATGTTTATTCATTATATCCGTTCATTATTTACTTATTTACCTGTGTGTGTGTGCGTGTGTGGGAGCGAGTGATGGGGAGCGGTAGTGTAGCGTTTAGCGCGCTGCGCCACCCGGGATCGATTCCCGCTCACGGCCAACACCAGCGACGATTATCTGAACCGGTCCTGCGCCTCTCCTAGGTCGACTCAGCCTCAAATGAGTACCTGGTGCAGTGACAAAAAAAACATTGTCACACGGGAGACAAAGGCGGCCGGGCGTGGTGTTGACCACCCAACCCCTCGTGTGCCGTAACGGCCCTGATAGATGCTCGCTAACAGCACTTGCCCCAACAGTCTATTACAGGCTATACGGGGAATCTGTGTCTTTGTGGCTCATCTGGGGAGCAGTGGCGCAGTTGTTCGCGCGACGCGCTGAACCCCTCCCCGGGTCTTCCCCTAGGTCGACTCAGCCTCAAATGAGTGCGAAGCGTAAGCATCCCCACGAGGGAGACAAAGGCGTGCGGGCGTGGTATGCGCCGCGTTGCATTATGGGTATGCGCGTTGCGTTGGGCCATCATCATCGGCGCGATCTGTTTGCCGAGACGGACTCTGCTGCTGATGGAGCCTCGCAAGGTCGAAATCCGGTCCAGAGTTTCTATTTGCTCATCGCAATCGTCGCCCCGTTGTGCTCTTGGGTCCGCGAGGCGAAGCGAGACGGAGGCTGACGGAATGGGAGCGATCCGCTTTTCTTCGTCGTTTTCTAGGGAACGTTGCTGATGAACGTTTGCGTGCAATCTAAACGCGAGTTGTGATCAATGTTAGCGTTGTGGTGACGCTCCACGCATCGCACCGCAGGTGTGCACAGCGGCAGCGGCGAATATTTGAACCCATCCCGGGACGTTCCACCTCTAGGTAGACTCAGCCTTAAGTGAGTACCTGGCACGCTTTAGCAGCGTCGGTCATTAGGGGAGACAAAGGCGGACGGGCGTGGCACTCGTCACACTACCATCTCGTTTGCCGTATCGGCTCTTAATTGGTGCTCGCTAATTTGACAATTTCGTGCTGCTTAAATACATAGACACACACACAGTGTCAGTAGAGCGGTGGCGCAGTGGTTAGCGCACTGCGCTACGAACCCGGCGCACCGAGTTAGATGAGCGGTCAACATCCCTTGGCCACGGCTGCAGTGACCAGCGTGGTGAAGTATGGTCGGATTGGACGTGAGGAACTCGTCATCTTGCAAGTCGCTTGACTGAAGAGCTGTAAATTACTGTTCTTGTTATCATCACAGTGTGCATATATGACATATAAACATATAGATGCGGGGTGGATAGTCAGATGTACTCGTTTGATGGTGAATACTTTCCATTTGTGCTTGCAGATAATTGCTGTCATCAAGTTGAGGTGACATCAGAGAGTTTCAAAAGGAAGGCGGAATTGTGACAGAAGTGACTGGAGACACAGACACACAGACACACGACACACACACAGACACACACACAGACATAGACACACAAACACATAGACAAAGACACACACAGACAAATATCACCCCGTATAGCCTTCACAGACTTTGGGGGCAAGTGCTGCGCAGAAGAACACATCCAAGTGCGTTGAACCGCAACAGCAACAACAGCAGCAAGCAGCCGTTGGCAGTGACGTCACCACGGCGCTGGTGCCCGGCTAGGTGGACTTTATGACACACACGCGTACTTAAAAAGAAAAACGCACAAAGACAAAGATCCCCCGTGTAGCCTACACAGGCTTGCCGGGGCAAAGTGCCCTTAGCGAGTAGCTTCGCTTACGACGCAGTCACGCACACGCACGCCAACCAGACACGCAGGCCACCCTCGTCCGGCTCCTCTCGGCCTCCCCCCGCGACCATGTACCAGAGCCTGTCAATGTCCCCCAGCAACGGCTCGCAGGGCTACGCTCACCACGACTCGCACCACCACCACCACCACCACGCCAGCCCCTTCATGCACAGCACCGCGGCCGCGGCGGCCGCGGCCGCCGCGGCCGCGGCGGCCGCGGCGGCGACGGCGGCGTCACCGCAGGGCCCCGTGTTCGTGCCGACGAGCCGAGTGACGCAGATGCTGCCGTCGCTGCCGTACCTCCACCCGCCATCGCAACCGCAACACGGCGGCGGGGGTGGCGGAGGAGGCGGTAGCGGCGGTGGCGGCCATTCAGCCTGGAGCCCTTCGTCGTCTGTGTCCGGCGGGACCGGCGGGGCTCCTGAAAGCGACGGCGGCGGCCTGGCCGGCGTCTCGTACTCGACCGTGCCGATGCACCAGAGTCTGGCGCCTCGCTTCTCCTACACGGCGGCCTCCGGCAGCGCCGTGGGAACTCGAGAGCCCTTCGTGGGCAGCCCCCTGGCCGCGTCGGCCGCCGGCAGAGACCACCACCCCCACCAGCACCACCACCACCACCAGCAGCACCAACACCAGCAGCAGCAGCAGCAGTACACGTGCGGCTCGCTGGGCATCTCGCTGAACGGGGCGTACAACGGCGTCTACTCGCCCTACGTGAGCCACGAGGTGGCGGCGGCGGCGGCGTGGTCCTCGCCGGGGCCCTTCGAGGGCGGCTCGCTGCTCCACCACGGCATCCATGCAGGCCGCCCGCCGCACCTGCAGGCCCGCAGGCCCGAGTACGGTGAGTGGACGCTCGAGATGCTTCGGCGGCGGCGGCGGCTTCGCGGTTTGGGGAAAGGACCGCGGCGTTGCCGTCGAACGCCGTGACCAACTCCGCGCGGTCCGGTTCGGTCTGTCCGTCGCTCCAGCCAGCCTGGCAGCCAGCCAGCAAAACTTTGTTCGAATAGAGTGTGGCTGGGAAAGGCTGTGCCCGTGCAAGTCCCTTTGACGGTGTAGAGTGGTAGGGTTTTCTCCGGGTCCTCTGGTTTTATTCCCACATGCGCGGAACGTTCAGTGTTATAACAGGTGGAACACTCCGCGTTATAAAGGGTGCATTCCATATTATAAAGGGTGGCACGTTCTGCGTTTTAACGGGCGGCACTTGTTCCCTAACAGAAGAACCGCGTTGGCACGTTAAAGTGTGAACACCGCGCGTTAAGCGAGGACCTACCGTGCAATACAAAGGGGCCAGAACCAACGAGACGGGCAGACCGCTTTGAACTGATGACATGGATAACGCAACGCAAGTTAAAAAGCACGCACGCTGCTGATCAGGCCCAATGGAGTCGAAATCTCGTGCAGGATTTTTCGTACAATCGCTGTTGAGGCTCCCACCGGGTTCGGAAGGCCGACAGGTCGATGGCCGTGAAGGAAATGGAATGTTATTTGTCTTTGTGTGTATCGTATACACGCATACTGCGGTGCTCGCTAACAGCACTTGCCCTAGTGATATGTTAAGGCTATGGGGGGGGGGTCTTTGTCTTTGTGTATTTATAGAGAGCGGTGGCGCAATGGTTAGCGCACTGTATAAATAACCCGGCGATCCGACTTCAATTCCCGTTGACGGCCAACATCAAAGACGAATATCTGAACCGGTTCTGGGCCTCACCTAGGTCGACTCAGCCTCAAATGAGAACGTGGTGCCGTGTGGTAACATCAGCATTGGGGAGACAAAGGCGGTCGGGGGTGGTGTTGGCCACCTAACTCCCCATCGTGCGCCGTGCCGACCTTCATAGGCGCTCGCTAATAGCACTTGCACCAACAGTCCCTTTAAATGCTATAGGGGGGGCATGTGTGCCGTGTGTTAATCACGTACAAATCACACACAATGCAAATCTCTTGTTATCTTCCAATGCCGGGCTATATTGCCCTTATCGCTACATTTAAATTCCTGAAGTGGCTTCGTTTATAATAAATCTGCGTGTGTTTACATCGCCCTTCTATTCTTGCGTACGGCAATATGTTAAGAAGCTACATTTATCTCCACTGGCCTCTATGGGTTTCTATGGATCTCTATTGGTTTCTATGGATGATGGAGCGTATACCCTCAGCGGGTTTTTTTTTTCTAAACGGTACATAGTTTGATAAGTCACGAATCCTCTGTGACGCGCATACCGTAATGTATCATTCATTAAACGTTCGCGTTATCGTGATATCAAAAACCGATAATAATAATAATAATACGGACCACGAGTGATATCCCCTCGTGGAGAGCTCGCCAAGAGAAGGCAGTTACACCAGGCGTGGTCTAATCGCCACTTGTCTCCACCTATACGGGGATAGAGAGTTGCCACCTCTCACGTGCATGGGTTGTCCCGACGTTTCGCACCATGGTACAACTCAGAAACGCATCGGAGACCACTAACAACAACAAACGCTAGGCAATAATGGAATTGGCCAAACGTATACCAGTGTAGAAGAATCATCATTAGGGCAATGTGCTTGTTATTTTTACTGCAATCTGCAAAGACCGACCAGTCAATCTGTCTGCACTCTCTTTGTCTTCGTCTGAAACAGGTTCATTGCCTAAAACGTCGATTCTATATTTCGTACGTTGCAAGCACAGCGGTGTTGGTGATTAAAGTAGTGAGTTTAGTTTTGTTTTATCTGAGGAATAGAATACATCATCCTGATTATAGTTAAAGTTAATGAGAAGTATAAACTTATTTGAGTAATAACTGTGTTGTGAACCGTGCCGGGCCTCATAGGTGCTGCTACTCGCTAAGAGTACTTGCCCCAACAGTCTGTTAAGGCTATATAGGGGATATTTGCCTTTGCTACGCATGTGTGTGTGTATATATGGGTGTGTGCTATGCGTGTGTGGGAGCGGTTGTGGTGTTCGCACATCGCGCTACGAACCCGGCGGACCCGAGTTTGAATTCCGCTCACGGCCAACACAAGTGACGATTACCCGAAACGGTCCTGGGACCTCCCCCTAGGTCGACTCAGCCCCAAATGAGTACCTGGTGCGGTGCGTAAAACATCGCCACCGGGGGAGACAAAGGCGGTCGGACGTGGTGCTGTCCACGCGACCCCCATCGTGTGCCGTGCCGGCCTTCGTAGGTGCTACTCGCTACTCGCTGTCAAACAGCACTTGCCCCCGACAGTCCGCGAAGGCTACACGGGGGATCTTTGCCCCTGCTGCAGTAATAGTAATACATTGTATCCGCACCGGGTCGCTTGGCTTCAATTGCGAGAGTCAACAGCGAGAGGGAGGGAGACAGCATCCCTCCTCAAACACAACGTTAACCTTTGGATGCTGCTCAGTTAGCACAGGGTTGTACGGCCTCTCCCCTCCTCCCTCCCATGCGATGCTCACGACCACTCACCACCACTCACCACCACCAACATCCTCACCCTCCTCTCTCCGATGCGATGCTCACCACTACTCACCACCACTCACCACCACCAGCATCCTACCCCTCCTCTCTCCGATGCGATGCTCACCACTACGCAGTTAAATCACAATTTTATTGCTTTGTCATTCGTGAAGTTGTTCCCCTCTTTCGTAAGAAAACGATTTAGATCAATTTAAATAAATACATTTGGCGATAGTTTTCCGACACTCTAGACTCACGCAGAGATCCATAGATCAGCACAGAGACCCATCGACTAATATAGAAGCTTACATGTTCACATAGACACCAATAGACTCGCATAGACCCAGAGATCCACAGAGATCCATAGACCCACATATAGACTCACAGAACCCAGAGACTCACAGAGACCCATCGACTCACATATAGACTCACATAGACTCACAGAGACTCACAGAGACTCATCGACTCACATATAGACTCACATATACTCACAGAGACCCAGAGACTCACATATAGACTCACATAGACTCACATAGACCCAGAGACTCACAGAGAACCATCGACTCCCCCACTATTTCCGCAGATCGTCTTGGGGTGCGGTCGCATTCAGAAGCTGCGTCGATCCACCTCCCCTTGTACTTTCATTGCATCATTTGCGTTAATTACATGTTGATTACATTTTTGATTTAAAGTTTTCGTGACTGCAGGGATTCATATTCTTGGTTCTTTCGGTAAAGTCACGTAGAAGGGAAACAATAAAATAATAAAAATATAAAACAATCAAATTCTCACGACGTTTCGACTGCAGCACAAGCAATTTCGACTGCAACACAAGCAATCATCATCAGTCGAAACGTCGTGAGAATTTTATTGTTTTATATTTCTATTATTTTATTGTTTCCCTTCTACGTGACTTTACCAAAAGAACCAAGAATATGTTGATTACGTCTTTTTTTAATTATCGGTGATCATGTAGATTTATTTTGGATCGCATTTTTCCCCATCGTAAAAGTCATCGGACTAATTAAACGTTTTAATGGCTAAGACATTAGTTTACCACCTCGACTACGCTGTTAAATTCATGTTTGTCACAATGAAATCCCACGTGGATTTATACAGCCCGTGTGTACAGTGAGGGGAAAATAGTATTTGATCCCCTGCTGATTTTGTACGTTTGCCCACTGACAAAGAAATGATCAGTCTATAATTTTAATGGTAGGTTTATTTGAACAGTGAGAGACAGAATAACAACAACAAAATCCAGAAAAACGCATGTCAAAAATGTTATAAATTGATTTGCATTTTAATGAGGGAAATAAGTATTTGACCCCTCTGCAAAACATGACTTAGTACTCGGTGGCAAAACCCTTGTTGGCAATCACAGAGGTCAGACGTTTCTTGTAGTTGGCCACCAGGTTTGCACACATCTCAGGAGGGATTTTGTCCCACTCCTCTTTGCAGATCTTCTCCAAGTCATTAAGGTTTCGAGGCTGATGTTTGGCAACTCGAACCTTCAGCTCCCTCCACAGATTTTCTATGGGATTAAGGTCTGGAGACTGGCTAGGCCACTCCGGCGGGCGTTCGACACTTCACGTGGCCTCAAGGTGCACATGGCCTGGCACAAGCGTCGTGGTGACGTCACCGCCACTTAGTGGCGAATGGCTGTTGTTGTTGTGTACGTGTGTGTGGGTGTACGTGTGTGCATGTGTGTGTGTGTACGTGTGTGTGTGCGTGTGTGTGTACGTGTGTGGGTGTGTGTGTGTACGTGTGTGGGGAGCGGTAGTGTAGCGGTTAGCGCGCTGCGCTGTGAACCTGGCGACCCGGGTTCGATTTCCGCTCACGGCCAATACCAGTGACGATTTTCTGAACCGGTGCCAGGCCTCCCCTAGGTCGACTCAGCCTCAAATGAGTACCTGGTGCGGTGGATACAAACATTGCCACTGGGGAGACTAAGGCGGTCGGGCGTGGTGCTGGCCACCCACCCCCTCGTGTACCGTTCCGACCTTCATAGGTGCTCGCTAACCAGCACTTGCCCCTACCGTCTGTTAAAGGCTATACGGGGGATCTTTGTCTTTTTGTGTATGTGTGTGTGTGTACGTGTGGGTGTACGTGTGTGGGTGTACGTGTGTGTGCGTCTGTGTACACATGGGGAGCGGTGGCGCAGCGGTTAGGTCGACTCAGCCTTGCTTAAATGAGTACCTGATGCGGAATGTGTGTATGTGTATAATAACATCAGCACCGGGGGAGACAAAAGCGGCCGGGCGTGGTGCTGACCAGATCGAGCCACTCGCCGGCATCCGCACGTGGTCGCTGACCGCACTTGCCCCAACAGCCTATGTGGGCCTACTCGGGGGAATCTTTGTCTTGTGTATGTACGTGTTTCCACGCTGCATATATGTATTTACGTATGTAAACTTTCCAA